AGTGCTACAAAAGCACCGTTGATCAGTGTATAAAATGATTCTGATGTTTTTGTTTTGTGGGGTTTTTTTGTTTGGTTTTTTAGCCCTTTGAAGTGGACCTTTCCCATGTTTACTTAGCTTACACTGAAGAAAGCTTGAGGCAATCTCTGATGAAGCTGGAGCGGCCGAGGACTTCGAAAGGAAGATCCAGGCCCAAGACGGGTAGAAGGTGAACTTTGGAGTATCTATATGTAATGGGGAGTTTACCCAGGGGAAGGCTTAAGTTTGTGCATACAAACTTGCCGTAAGTCTTCAAACATTTGCTTAATGAAAAGACAAAACACTAAAATTGGGCATGGTGTAAAGCTTACCAGTGCCAAGTACAATAGATCCAAGCTGAAATCTCTTTACTGCAGTAAAACCTTGTCCAGAAAGAAGTGTCTGGGGATTTTTCTGATGTTCTTTTGCTGCATTCCCCTTTTCTGACTACTTGCTTTATTTTACTGTGTTTCTGTGGTTCAGTTTAACATCTGATACATTGGTACTGTTGTTGCTATAAAGTAACGTGCTGCTGGTAGAGATTTCAGCATGGGTTTTCTTGGTTATTTTTGGTTGATTGGTTTTGACAGATGCTTGTGGAAGATTAATGTGTTGTAGTTTTGACTTAAAATGTGGCTGGTCCCCGTCTTTCCCAGGCAGCATAATGATGTGTGGATGGTGTTATTTTTCCCTTTCCTTTCTGCTCTCCAAACAGAAAACGTTCGGCAAAGCCAGGAGCCGTCATTGACTCTCTGCTGCAGTAGGTGTGACCTGTTCAGAATTGCCGTAAAAGTCAGTGAGTGTGTAAGGTTTGGCCAGAATATGGGATTCAAGAGATGGCACAGTTTGACATGGCTATAAAATCCATACCTTGCTGGTATGGAGCTTTATTTTTAAAATAATGTATTTTTCCTTAGTTGCCCGTATATTGTATGTTATATTAACATAATATTAAACTGGTATATATGATGGTTGTGAAATTCCATGTGTTAAACGTGTTGTGCAGGGAAACTGTTGTTGGCAATCCCTGTTGAAATGTATAGAAAACAAGGGTTCTAGATGTGTTTTTAAGTGCTAGACTTGTTAGCTCAAAACGGTTGATGAAATCCTAAAACTTAAGGCTGGTGAACCTGATTTTATGCCCTGCTTTGCACATAACCAGCAGCTTTCACTATTGTCCTCTGTTGCACTGATCTGTGTTTGAATGTGGTTGCTGCAAACCTTTGCATTAAGAGCACCAAACCCTTTTATTTAAGTATTCCTCACTGTGGCTATTAACCCGATGCTGTTGTGTATCAAATACACAGTCCTTTTCCCTTCGTTTGCTGTCTTGCTGTACAAAAAGTAGTTGGGTAGGGGAAATGTGAACTACAAAAGTCTGAGACTTCTGGGGAGGGACCATGCTCTGTTTAAGTGCAACAGAAAACAAGCGCGTTGAAGTAGTGCTTTTATTTTTGTTTATTTGCGTGTCATCTGCTGGCACTGTGGAGAGCGAGGCCTTTGATGCAAAGGCAAAAGAGCTTTTTTCCCCTCCTTTTAAGCTGTGTTGCAGCATTGCTTTGGCTGCTTTTTATGCTTCTGAGATGGAATTTTTTTAACGTATGTGAATTGTTTTGTAATCTGAACAGCAGAGATTATTTAAGGGGAGCGCTGTCATACAAGGACTTGGCTTCAGCCTTGGGACTGTGGCTACAAGGGCACTGGAGCAGTGCTCTACACTGAGGGTGAATCTGACTCTCCTGTATTACAGCAGGCACAAATTGCCCAATTTTCCCAGAACAGTAACATCTCCTGAAATAGCTGCTGCTGTTTGTGTGGACTGTATCATGTCAAGTTTCTGGCTGTGCTCTGAGAGGGGAAAAAAAACAATTCTGGTCTCTGATAACCATTTCTTTGTGGTGGCTGCTCTTTTCCTTTGATATTTATGCTGCTAATAGACACGTATCACTTTAATACGTTGCTTTAGTGTCAGAGAGAATGCATCTCCTTTGGATCGTGTGGGATCAGTGCAGGCATCTTAACAGCTCCCACGCCAGGTTGGTGTTAATTGGCTGTAACTCCACCTAATGCCAGTGTTACCTGGAGGTTCACAAAAGCTGTGATTACCCATAGGAGAAATTGAGTCCTTAAGCATGACAGAAAGGACAAGGGAGCTCCTGAGGTGTCCTGAGCTCTTGCTCGTAGCCACATCTGCAATTACCAGAATGTTCTTGTGAAGTACGTAGAGTAGCCAAAAGTTGGTAGCCCTGATGCTTAACTGGTTTGATCTTTCTCGCTCTGTAGCAGGATCTGTAATAGTGAAAACTTGTCTTGGATGGATGTGTTTTGCTCTGGCGATATCTTCAGTGCTATTCTCAATGCGTTTTAGCTTTTCCCTGTTTTGCTTTGTTTTTTAAATGTGTTTCAGGATCATGACCTAGGAGAACACACTGCCCTCTGTTTTGGGGAGAGGGAGTGTCGCCTAAGTTCATACAAACACTGGCGTTTGTTTTCTCTGGCCTAGCAATTAGAGGTGAACACTCAGAGCTGTTTTCTGATCTAAGCTGTAGCTGGTTTTGCTCTTGAGGACCTGACTGTACTTTGAATGTGCTTGGGTAGAGTTGGGTTGTCGTGTGTTATGTACCTGATGAACATCAGTGGCTTAAAGATACCACTGTGAACCATGACACTACATTTAAACTATTAAAACCTAACTATAAAGGCATATGCTTTACAATGTAATTGATGTTACAGTCCTGCTGCTGAAAACAATAATACTCTACACATTTAAGTGAGCCTTGAGGCAGAGAAAACACTAAATAATTGCTTGCAAACCTTTGTAATTGGCAGATAGGAGAAACTGGTTGTAACCTCCTGTTGCAGGGGCTTGGAGAACAAATTATCTGCTCTTGCCAGAGGGCTTTATTTTACGTGGAACGCTACCATGGGCACGGTGCTGTCAGCTTGGCTTACCTCTTACCCAGTGTTTTGTTGGATTTCTGGGAACTTTCTTTGCAAACCAGGGAGTCTGGCTTGCAGCTTTACCACATGAGCCCTCTCTGTAGCCCTGGGCAATCTGAATGTCTGATGGGTCCATAACGTGTGTTAATGCTGAGGGCGTTTGGTTTGTGTGGGGTTTTTTTAAGAGCTTAACACAGCCATTCTCATCCCAGGTCAGGACATGCTCTACAGTATTTATCAAAAATCATTCTACCTTAACCGGTATATTGTGTGTGCTCATCTTTACATCTTGCTACCAGAAGATTCCCCTCATTCCAGAACATTGACCTTAACATCGGGGTTTATGTTGTTTAATGTTGTGTAAATGAATGATTTCATAGTTAACTTGTTCCTGATCCTTTCTTTAAGAGGAGGGGAAAATGGTCCTTAGTGCCTTTCACTGACGACACTGCACACGTCCAGCTTTCACCTTTCTCAACAGTTCTGCTTAGCCAGTGCTGTACATAGGAAGAACTGCTAGTCTGTTTGTATCATTTGTCTTCCTATTTATTGGTTTTCTAACTCAGTTTATTTCTGATTATTCTTTGGTTTATGATTAAACCTTCTTCATTACACTGTATATATCAGTATTGTGGCCCTGGAGCATGTTCATACCGTGAAATAAAATTCTGGATTCCTACTTCCACCTCTGTGCATGTTTTTTCCAATAACTTGATACATGCAGCATCTTTCTAACTCTGCTGAGTCAGTTGTGTCGGTCTGGGCAGCTCTGGTGCACTGGAGCAGTTAGAGGAGTGAGTTTGGGGGAGGTGTGGGAACCCCCATTGCTGCCAAACCTCAGGTTGGTGAATTTACCTTCACTAATTGGAAATGTTCAGCTGTTGCCTTTGCTGTGTAATCTGTATAGGTCTGCAGTGCATTTCCTCCTCTGGAAGCCCTTTCAGCCTGCTCAGACAGTAGGTAACAGGTTTTTTGTGGTCTGTGAACTTCACGGCTCCCCTGAGGACTGACTCAGCTGATGCACGAAGCAAACCCTGTGCAGTCCTGGGACTTTCCATGACACCATCCCACGCTGTGCCAGAGTAAATTCTAAAATTAGACACCCAAATACCTGCCAGGCTCCATCCCCTGTTGTGAGAGAAACTTTAACCCCCCCAAGCTCTGCAGCAGGCTATGGTCATACCTACAGTGGTGCAGTTTTGCTCCCTATGGCTGTTTCTCTCACTGCTGTTGCTGCTGGAGCCTCTCTACTCCTAGGCCACAAAAAGCTATGCCAGACCCTAAAGTGAGGGGGGACCAGGGGTCTGCTGAGCTACAGACCTGGCATCTCTGAGCTCATCATACGCTGAGTTCACGGCTCACAGAAGGCAGGCCCTGTATCTTCTCCAGTCCACCTTCTCTTGGGCTTTTCCTCTGCTTGGACCTGCTTTCTTTCTGTTAGTACAGGCCATGACACCATAGCAGGACAAATTCTGTTTTGGCAACTCTTGCCAGCACCACCCTTATGTTGGTGGACTCCATTCGCTGTAGCCCCGTGTATTTCTTGCAACTTTTATGGCAAAGTAACAAAATTTACTTTTGCCTTCATGGTTTTTAACCCCTTTATTTCTAAAGCCCCAGTTTTATCCTGACCATGTGGCCCTGCTTTCCCACCCAGTCACGACCATGGGCAGAAAATACCTGTTCTTGCTTCCCTGCCCTGCAGTGTCCAGCTGCTGCCATCAGCCTGGTCCCCATTGCTTCTGGCTTAACCCTGGGGCCGTGTCCCAGCCCTGGCCTCCTCTTGAGCCCCTCCAGGTGTTTCTGCTCATGGTGCTGCCAGCTGGGTCCTGCAGCCCAGTGCCCCTTGCTCCAGCTGCCACCTTCCAGCTCTCAAACACGTTCCTGTGCTCTCCAGTTTCTGGCCAAGAGACATCTTAGGCAGTGCCAGCAAATTTAGTCCAAAAATACATTTATTTAAAGAATTATTATAAATAATCTTCAAAAAATACAGTGTTGTCATAGTTTAAAAAATAATAATAAAAAAACCAGGCTGTGTGTTTTCACTTCAAGCTCTGGTCTTTTACTAATCTTTGGAGCACTCTGTGTAAGTCCACCAGAAAATTGTTCAGTGATGTAGTGTTCCCTGTTGCCGTGAGACATGAGTCCTGGAACAGAAAGAAGAAGGATGTTAAGATCATTAGGATGCTTTCTGTGGGGGTATCTGGTTCTCCAGCCTGGTCTTGGCGGCTGCTGCTGCTGCTGTGGGAGAGGACGGGGTGGAAGAAAAATGGTGACTGAGGAAGAAGTTGGATGTGCAGAGAGTTTGGGGGCTGCAGCGCGGTTTGTGGGGGGGAGCCTGCCTTACCATGCTCCCTGCGCCCTTCCTGTGGACCAGGCGGAACAGGTTGATGGACACGTCCTCCAGGTACCTGTGGCAGCTCCGGCTCTCCCAGGTGACTTTGGTGGCTTTGCACAGGAGCTCCGTGTCGTTGGCTTTCTGCAAAAAGAAGCATGTGGCTGTTTGTTTTAAATTCGGAAACCCTTTTGTACAGTTGTGGCTTCATTGGCAGGGGATTAAACCACTACAAATAATACATTTCTGTTCTAAATGGTAGCTCAGGATGTCAATGCCCATCTCTGTCCTTGGTGAGGATGCTGCCATCAGCTGCTGGTGAAATGTCGTGGCAGAGTTTGGGACAGCAACGAGCGCCCACATGTTCAGAGCACTGCGCTTTGGGGATGAACGTGGGACCCTGCTCCCTGCGGGCTCCCCCAGGGATGCAACAGGTTTAGGGGGTAGAGACTCTACAGGAATAACAAAAGTCTATAGGAGAGATTGCATTCATCAGGTGCTTGCAGTAAATAAAGCCCTGTAGCAATGAGACATCGAAGATGAGGAGCGAATGAGTGCTGGTAATAAGAAAATGATTCAATTTTCAGTGCTCACTGGGAGCTCTGCCTGCTCAGGTCTCCTCAGCCCACCCAAATGGCCCTGTCAAATAAGCAACCGCAGCCAGGTCTGCAGGTGTCAGGGTGTGTAGCATCCTGGGCAGCATTTCTCACTCCCAGGGCCCGTCCCTGCGGTAGGAGGGGTGCGAAGACCTCCCCAGGGGATGCTGAGCCCTCAGCTCCCGCCTGCCTGTGCAGCGCAAGGTGAGAGCATCGGCTTTCTGTGAAAACAGGAACTCTGGGGCCAGGGCGCTTGGCTTAGGCAGCAATTTTCAGAGCTAAAATCAGCATTATTATCTGCTATTAAATCTCCTGCTGACTGCTGAGCCTTCCCCCAGATAAGGGGAAAGAGGGATAGTGCGTCTAACCCGAGCACGAGATGCTGTGCGATAGGCGGCCGTGGGTGGCTGTGGGATGGTGACACACCGCTCCAAAGTGAAGGAAGAAGTTCCTCTGTTCCTTTCTGAAAAGCTTGAGAACCCCTGTGTGCCGCTCGAGCACACACTGCCCATTCCCTCCCGCCTCCCTCGCCCCTCTGGGATGGGAAGCAGCCATGCTCCGATGCCGATTTGGCTGGGTGTGGGAAGGTGCCATGCACTGGGAGAGGCAGGGAGCAGCCTGGCAGCCCAGCATCGCTGCTTGAGGCTCACCATGGGCTCCCTGTGCCCATCCAGTGCCGTGCTGGGATGAACAGGACTCCCAGTGCATCCCGCCCGCCCCGCACTCTCGTTTGGCCTCTCCCAGTGCCCATCCTGCCCGTATGATTGTTTTCAAACAAGGACAGATAGGGTTGGGTTTGGTTTCTTTCCTCTCTCTTACCTCATCACCTGCAAAAACATTGGTCACGTTCATCTTGTCACAGGAAACCTTTAGTGAGACACAAAGGAGAGGAGCGATCAGGCTCGAGAAACTGCTAACGCGGATCCTGCCCGCCATGTGCACACAGACACAGGTCTGTCCGTCCATCCGCCCGCCCTCGGCCCCCGAGAACCCTGCACCGCACGCTCAGCACCTTCCTTCGCCTCGGCATCGCTCGTGAAAGCATCGGTTCCTGCCATCGATGAGGAGAGTTTGAGCCCTACCTTCATCTCCAGGAGGGTGCTCAGCCGCCTGATGCTCTCCTTCAGCAAGTTGGAGGTGGGCAGCAGGGCAGCCCTGTGGCCCTGGCAGACCAACAGCGCCAGGAAGGCGAGCAGGATGGGGCCTGGGATGCTCATGGCCTGCTGGGATCGACCCCCTGGAGCTTGCAGTTTCTGGATATTTTGGTGATCTATACCTGTGTGTGCTTTTCTGGAAGACACATCTCAATTTATGGCTGTAAAATTGCTGAACCTGTAGGAAAAACTTATTTTTCCCTTATCTGCACTTTCCAAAGTTGCTCCTATCCAATTAGGACAACAGATCTTTTTTGTAAAAGTCAAGATTTTCTTCTGATCTTGCATTACGTTTCAACGTAGGAAATTTCCACCGTAAGATAACGGTTGTAGAAGTCAGGTCACGAAGGAAAGAGATGTAAACTGCCCGCTTTGGGGATTCTTCATTTCTCCGTATCCCAGGACTTTCTCTGCACCATGAAGTGAAAGTGGCTGAACTGAGGAGACCACGGACCCAACCGTGCTCAAATGACAGAGTTCTGCGTGGTTTTTTTCTTCTTTTCTCTAACGATCCAGCTCATGTTTCATTTGAATATCTCCTAATCAAGCAAAACATCTTTCATCTGCATAATATTTGCTATCTTCGCTTATCTTAACCTGCACACTGGGAGAGAAACAGAAAGTTTCGCTGCCTCCCGGGGCTGTGGGAGTTTATGGAGACCTGGGGGCCCGATGGGACACCTGAAACAGTGCAACCCTGCCCATGGCACCCTGCGGGGACACGGCGAGGGACACGGAGCTGGCTGGGAAATGGGATTTGGGGTATTTTGGCCAGCCAGAGGCTGCCCTGGCCCATCCTGCCCCCCTCGGAGCAAAGCCCGAGTGCGGGCAAGGTGGGGGGCACTACCCGCACCACCGCCCGGCGCCGCCGCAGGAAATCGCGCAGAGAAACGAGCTGAGCTGGGAAACTTCGGAGTTTTGTAATAACTAATAGGTATTTTTCTAACTCAAATAGCAACTTGCCATCAGATGCTTGATAAGAGTCTGTGAGTGCTCGATTAATCCAGGAGCGGCCCGACCGCGAGTAACTCTGTTTGCCTAATTATGAAATGCCCCAGATGAAGCCGGTGCCACTGACTCAGAAAGCCCTTTGCGAGGGATTTGCCAGCGCCGTTTCCTACCTGCGCCACTCTCGATGGGGAGCAGATAAGCGACCGCGCTCCGGGTACGGGCCTGCGTGGTGGCGGTAGCCTCTGCGGATGGTGGCCACGGGACCCGGCTCCTTGCCGGGATGCCCAGAGCCACCCCACGGCTCTGGGATGGGTGGTGGTGGGAGGCTCCGTGCCTAAAAGTGATGCTGGTGGTGGTCTCGTTCCCATAGACACAGCGGAAAGCTCTAAATCTGGAGTGAGTGAACAGAAAAACGCTAAATGAGCAGAAAAATGTAACCTTTGAGGTACTCGGGCTGAATCACCGTGGAAAAGTGCATCAGGGTGCAATGGGAAAGTCGCTGGTGAAGAAAAGATTCCCACGTCCTTTCCCCAGGGTGGGATGCGGCCGATGGCAGCGATGGCCCCATCGAGGGACGGCTCTGGCCCCTGCGCGGTCATTTCTGGCGTCCCAGCCGTGGGTCAGGACATGACCCTGCTGCCATTTCCCAGGTGTCTGGGGAACACAGAAATGTGTCCTCAGCTCTACTCCTCCTCGTGCTCTGTGGTTTGCAGCTTCTCCCCAGGACATGAGGATCCTACCCAGGATGGGCCACTGCCTCAGCTCCTCTTTTTGGCCTAAACCGGAGTGAATCCAGAGCAGCTGCTGAGGAAGGACCAGGAGGTGCCGGAGGTAAATTTTGGCTGGCAGCGGCAGGGATGCGCTGCAGTTTTCATGCAGGTGTCTGGTGTGGGTGCTCACAACACTGGGGTTTATCCAGAACAACTTCAAGGGCTGCGGTTAACACCCCACCACATGCATTGATAGCAATGTCATGCACTTACAGCAATTATTTCCTGCATTTATAGTGATTTCCTGCATTTATAACCATTTCCAGCAGCCAGGTTGCCTGTTTATTTCCTACCCGTGTCCCTGCCACCACCAGCACCTGAGTGGGCGCTCATCCCATGAGCTGTCCCCATCCCTTCCCTTGCCCGTCCACGCTGCGCACCCCAACCCGCCCCCCTCCATCACCACCCAAACCAGGGGCTCCCACCCCTCTTCCCCTCTCCTCTTCCCTTCCCCAGTGTTTTCCTACGCTGGGTGGGTTCATTGACTTTGGTTTTATTTTGCTGTCTTGAACACTCACTCCCAAAGGCAGACTGGGTGTAAATCACCCCCAAAATGCCAGCCTTCACCACCCCGTTCTGGCTGATGGGGGAGGCAGCACCCCCCAATGCTCTGCATCCACTGCCCAAGGGAAGAGAAGGGGAAGCGAGAGCAGAAACCATCGGTACCAAGAGCTCGTTTTTCAGTTATATATTATTTAAGGCCTGAGACACTTTTAGAACATCAGTGCAAAGTTGAAAGGGAAACAATACAATCAGATGACGACATCCAAATACATGAGAATTTGAATATATTAACTCTGTCGTAATACAAATATTTTAAATAGAGGGAAGAACAATAAATTACAAATCAGCACGCGCTCACTTGTTGTCATGGAAAGGCGAGTAGGCAATAACAGATCCCTAAGAATGAGGTAGCAGTAATTTAAATATAACACTGGTCTACAGAACTACTCTTAGATATATAAGTTAAAAATTAGACATCTATTCTGAATACTGGTGGTTGTTTTTTTGTCTGGGTCTCAAGCAAATAAAAGCTTTCAACAGGAGAACTTTTTGCTCTTGAATCTTTAGATTGCGCAGTATAAAAATAAGTTATTTAAATAAAATACAATAATAAATAAACTATAAGTGTGATGCCAGTGAGCACCCACTAGATCCAGAGTTACCCTACAGACTCCTAGTTTTCACTATTAATAACTTAAAAGCCCACTGACAAGATAAAGGCACATTAAAGGTGAGGTTTTCTGTTCTGGCAGTGCTGGCTTTGTTCTTGGCTGCTGCACTTCCCCAGCTCCCAATGGGACTTGACCACCCCCCCCAGCTGCTGGAGCAACTGGGTAGTGAAAATGCCTCATTTCAGCCTAGATTTTGATCTCTTTAGGAAGAGAAGATGATTATGAAGAAGCCTGCCTTCACTGAGAGCAACAGGAAGCAGATAAATTGGTTTTGGTTTTGGTAGGCGCTGCAGGAGGTGAACGAGGTAAAAGCTCAGCATCCTTGGCCACCCCATCCAGGAGAAGCCGGGCAAAGCCTGGAGCCAGCGTTCCTGGGGGTCATATCCATGCCAGGGGGGTCACATCCCTTATGAGGGGTTGTATCCATCCCTCCCAGGGGATTGCATCCCTTCTGCGGGGTCACAGCCCTTCTAAGAGGTTGCATCCATCCCTCTGGAGGGGCCTCATCCCTCCCGGGAGGTTGCATCCCACCTGATGCCAGCTGGAAGAGGGGCAGGGCTGTGAGGGAGCAGCCTTGTCCAGATGAGACCTTGCCGATACCTGGCACTGGGCTGGAAAGCTGGGGTGATGCCGGGAAGGGGACGCTTCCCATCACAGCTGAGTGACCCCAGGTGCCACGTTGAGATTTGCTGTGCTGGGACCTGCTGTGAGGATCGCACTGGGTTTGGGAGGGCTGGGGCAGGGCTGAGGAAGTGCGTGCAACAAGGAACAAAAGAAACCAACAAACCAAACTCTGCAAAACCTATTTCAAGAGCTGCCAGCAGTGAGAGCCAGCCCTGGGCTGGGGCCAGCAGCAGCGCCCGTCTCACTGTGCAGCTGCCGTGGGCAGGCGCCTGTACATCCCCTGCGTGAAGTTCCCCAGCTCCGGCAAGAAGTTGCGCAGGTAGAGCTCGTTCTCGTTGCTCAGGGAGCAGTTCTGGGGAAGGAAAAGGGTAAATAGGTTAGAGCTGACAGCAGGATTTCACAGCCCGAGCAGGCGGCTCATTTCCAATGCCGCTGTCCCCAAAGTGAATGGTTCAGTTAAGAGCTGGGAGAATGCTGGTTGGGAATTTGGCCTTTGCTCAGGACAAGCACCCTGTGCCCGGCAATGTGACCTCCATGGCCACCAACCCTAGGTGCCCAGAGCTGGTGGGGACATTCACACCCTTCACAGGGAGATAAATTATCTCATAAATGCCTGGGTCTTGTCCCAGGCAAGACAACGAACCCTGGCTTCATCAATCCCGTGGGTACATCATGGGGCAAAGGGGCCGTGGGGGGCATGGGGAGGCTGCAGCTCCTGCTTACCTTCTTGCCATGCAGGCTCTGCAGGTTGATGATGAGGGGCTCGTAGTCTTTCCTGCATCTGGTGACTTTGATGAGTGCCATGGCCGCCTGGCACAGCCGCTCCTGCTCTGACAGCTGGCAAATATAGGGGAAAAAAAAATATCATTATTGGCACCACGTAGCTGATTTAAGTCAATGCCACTTCTCAAGGTGGCCAGGACTGGTGGGAGGTTTCAGAGTGATTTCCTAAACTGCTTTCATTTTACAGTGGCAGTGGCAGCCCTGGGCCGTGGTTCGTGCCCCAGGCTGTGCCCGAAGGCCGGGTTGGGGGGAGGTGGCGGTTGCAGAAGTGCCAGAGACAGGGCCTCAGCCACAGCTGGCATCGAGCCGTGTGCTCGCCCCCAGCTCTTGCTCGCTGACTAAGAAAGGTCCCTGTGCTCCGTGGGCTGAGCACCAGGCGACGGCTGTGTTTGTTTGTTATAAATGCGCTTTCCACCTCTCTCTCTCTCTCCATCATCTCTTACCGTCTGATCTGTGAAGGGGACCTGGGCCACTCGGGTGTCATTGCAGGGGACCTGGAGAGGTGACACAAGGGAGAGCCATCATTACAAGACATTCACTACGAGATCATCATTATGAGACCGTTATTGCAAGATCATCATTATGAGACCGTACCCACGGAGCTGCCAGCTGTGCCCTCGCCCACAAAGGGGCACTGCGTCCCTGGCCCTCTCTGGTGGGACACAGCACAGATGTGTGCGGTTGCTGCCAGCACTGAGCTCCATGTTCCAGGAAATTGATTCAAAACAGGCTCCTGGGAAGGTGGGACACGGGTTTGCAAAGCAGTTTTTGGGGAAGGTCCCCGAGTGCTCAGTGGGTGCTATGAACCGGCACAGAGCAGGGATCCCTCGGCAGCTCAGACGGTGCCAGGCCCCATGTCCCCATCACCAGGCTGCCCCGGTCACCCCAACACAGCTCTGTGTGTTGGACAAGGAGGTCTGGGGGACGTTGCCTTGTTCCGAGGCTTTTTTTCCAGAATGTGCCCAGTTGCAGGTGGAAAACTTCACCTTGGCTGAACCAAGCAGCCTCTTGTACCACCAAGTCAAGTACTGAGCACCCCAAGTCTAGGCTGCAACTAACACGAAGGAACATCTTCATCTTCATCATCATCATTATTATTGTCAATAATGTTCCTCTGGTCTGTAAGCAAAAAAGAAGCCAGGAGAGGGAGCAGCATTTACCTGCACTCCTGAGTTGAACTGGTGGATGTGGTAGGTGATCTCCGACAGCTTTACTTTGGCAGAGGTGGTCACCAGCGGCCTGCAAGAAGTGAGCTGCAGCAGGGAGAGGAGCACTAAAGCAGCCTTCAGCGAGGGGAGCATCCTGTCGTCGCCGTCTGAGCGCTTCCCGTGCTGGCTGGGCTGGCTGGCCAGGGCCTCTCTGCCTCGCTGCTTGGTAGAGCACCATTTTTATAGTCTTTATTGACTACCAAATATAGGTGTCTTCCTGTGCTGATCAGGCGAGACAGTGGGAAGTGCCATTCGCCCCAAAGAAGGGCATTATGTAATGACAGCGAAGACTTTTCGCCCTTAACCAACGCTATCTGCTATTCAGCTACCAGGCAGATTTTAATCACCTAATTGATAGATGAAGAGATAGTGGCATGAGAAGTCGAGCATTTCTCTTTGATGCCTGAGGATCTATTTACTATCGAGCGTGTTCGTAGCGTGCTGCATGTGGAAAACCATGAAAGTGTGCGCGACTGAACCAAGTGCGTTGCAAGGCTGGGAATGAAGTCAAGCCATGAATTTCTGTGCAGAGAAATATCTGCCCAAGCTTTCCTTGTCTTCACCATGGCAAAGACAAGGAGTTACGCAGAAGGACCAGCTCCGGGGTGCATGTGGCTGGACACCAACAGCTCCTGCCCTGGATGCTGGCATCTCATGGGGGATGCCCCAGGGGCACCACCATCATGGGATGCAGCTGGGAGCATCCCAGCGCCGCTCTCCAGGGCACCCTGACCCCTTGCTATTTTCCCCATTGATGTGGAGGACCCTGTCCCCTCATATGGACCCTTCTCCCTGGTGGTGGCCCTGGGGACGGGCCGGGACCCTGTGCCACAGCTTGGTCATTGCCGGTGATGACAGCAGCATCTTGAGGAAGGAAACAGTGCATGGGGGCTGTCGGAGAGGAACAGCTGAATTGTGTGTCGGAAAAAGATTCACGTTGTTTGGCCATAATGGCAACAACTCTGGCAAGCTCAAGTAGCCAAAATCAGACTTCAAAGAAAAGAAAACCTCAAATCTTTTATCAAGATGTTAAACATCTGCAAAGACCAAAAAAAAAAAAAAATGCTCTTGCATGTAAAGGAAGAAGTAGCTGAGGGGTTTTTCTGCCGTGTGGGTGTTTGGGTTTTAACCAGGACTTGCTCAGCTCTGTAGCACGTATCCCGCCCTGCAAGGACGGCTCCTGCAGCGCCCAGCTCGGCGCGGCGCCTTTCAGCCCCGGGTGCCATGACGTCCCACACCGTCTCATGCCATCCCATGGCATCCTACACCATCCCATGCTGCCCCACGCCATCCCATGATGTCCCACACCATTCCACACCACCCCATGGTGTTGTCCCACACCATCCCAGAAGACGTCAGAAAACCATCAGTAACTCGGGGATCCAAACCATCACATCCTTGAGCAGAAGCACAGACACGACCCCGCAATTATTTCCCACCATGGCCGAACCATGCAGTTAGTGAGAATTTTGTGGGGGAAAAAAAAAGCTGACTTGCCAAAATGGCTCATTTTTTTCCCCAAATTCTGAAATGCCTTTGCCCAGGCACTGCCGCAAGCACAGGCACAGCAGCTCGGTGCCAGCGGCTCCTCACGGAGCCCACGGTGCTGCTGCCCCAGCTCGGGCAAACCCTGTCCAGGGGAGCCCCAGCTCTCACCTCATACCTGGCTGGGGGCTTGTAAATAGTTGTAAATTGTTAAATTCATTTAGAAAATGTAGAAACATTCAAACTTCATGCATAAAGCTTTTTTTCCAGTAAAGTCAAGGTGTTGCATAGCCCAAGGAAGCCTCGAACTTCACATTTCAAACCAATCCCTTCTCATTTCACCGCATTGGTTTTGTATTGCAAGATCTAGCGTTGCAGTGGCAGGACTGGGCTGGAGCATCCCCCTTTCATTGCTTTTCTTAGTCCAAAAAAATTGCTTTTCCTGGAATAAAAGATGGTGACGGTGCCAAGCTGCCAGAGCAGGATGCGCTGCGGCCCCTGGGAAGATGTCTGTGGTCCCAACCCCGTGAACTGGTGTGGGGTCCAGCAGCGATGCCATGGTCCCGGGGGCTTCATGGGGGATAAGGGGGCTGCTGGAGTGGGGGCTCCTAGGCTGGGATGACCCTGCGTCTGTAAACCCTGCGTGGAGAGCGTGTGTCACTGCCCCCAAAGGCAGATAAAATCAATCTGCCAGAGTATTGATACGGTAACATGAACGTAATGATGGGAAAAGCTGACATGCATCAATTCGGCTCGCGTGGGTGGAAAACAATAGCCAGAAATGGGAGCCCAGTTCTGAGAAGCGGCGTCGAGCCGGGGGCTCGGGCGGGAGAGGGGGTCACAGCCCTTCGGGAGCATCATCAGCCCAAAGGGAACTGAAATGGCTCACTCAGAGCGCCGTGGGCTGTGGTCAGTGTTGAACCCAGCGGTGATTGCAAAATAATACGGGAAATTTCTGCTGATTCATCACCCCCAGAGCTAAGGGAGGGGGTGCATGGGGCTGGGACACCATGTCCGGGGTGAACCAGGATCCATGTGAACCCCGTGGGTCACTTCATCGTTTAAGCCACCCCAAATCAGTTCCCAACCAATTCAGAAAAATGATCCAAGCGGTTAAGTTGGGTTAATTTTCCCCATCAGGCTCCTCTTGCCCCACCATGGGGGAGCGGTTGGGGGATGAAGATGCACACTGGGCTGGTGTCGGTTGGCCTTTCCCATGGCTGCATCTCTGGATGATGACACCAGAACACAGAGCCAGCTAAAGAAACCCTCAGTGCAACCTCGACCATAAATGTTGCTCTGTTCTGCGTCCAAAGCCATGCTTTTTTTCTCCTTTTTCTCTTGTTTTCCAGCATCAAAGCCAAGGTTGGCTGCCCACAGTCACCACACAAATGAAGGGCAGCAGCGTAGGCTGGAGCCGCGGCCACCACAACAGGCACGGGATGGCATCGCTGGACACGGATGGAGTCAATGGAAAGAGCCAGGCACGGCTGATGGGCAAGTTGGATTTCCAGGGGCTAATCACTTCATTAAGGGACAAAGTCAGAACTCGTAAGGTTCAGTGGATGCTTTAATTGAGGTGATACAAACAACTTCAGGTCTCTTCTGTCATTTTTCAGGGCCTGATTTTGGACAACTCTACGAACCACTGTCTTGTTTCCAATGCTATTCCAGCTTTGCCTTTGATGAAATCCTCGTTGGGAAGCCACAACGCTTTTTTACAGGCTGTTTGCGCATATGTGCTGTTCTTGACTTTCAGAAGATGGGGAAATTAAAGATAACTTTTTATAACATGAAAAAAAATGCACCAAATGTGGGTCACCATATAACGTCTAGCATCAGCACATGTAATATCTCTTGAATCAGTGGTTGAGTTTACAAACTGCGAGCGTTTCAGACCCTGGGACGGCTCCGCAGCCCGGCCCGGCCCCGGAGCCAACCTGCACCTTTCAGCCGTGCAGACGGAGCGAAAGCTACAACGACAGCAATTAATTATTTTCTACGTAAATCAAATTACACAGAATAGGATGAAGCCGGATGAAGGAGAATTTGCAAGTTGCATCACATTTCCCGAAGGTGTAATCTTGCAGTGAGTAGAGAATAAGCGCTGGCTCCTGGCAGCGTGCCCCAGGGTGGGTAGTAAACAAATTGTCATCCTGAAATAGATGAGAAATGATATTTAGTGTGACATTTAAAAGCTAGCAAAGTTACAAGGAGACCTGAAATGATTAAGCTTTTTGAGAGCATCATCTGTATTTATTGGTTTGGTTTGCAGTGTTTATTTGTAGATAATCACATCGGTTTGGTTTTTCTTATTTTTAAGGCATGCAAAAGCTTTTTCTCGCCTGAAATGCAGCGCGCAGGAAGAAAACTGCACCTCCCCAGTTAGAAACTTTAATGAACAGTTGACCCTGGGAGTAGCAAGTTATGCATTCTGTAAGGCACTTTTTCACCTCAGGCAGGTCAGAGAGCAATTTTGGTTACCAAAATCAAAATTAAATTAACTAAAAATATATCTACTCTGAAGTTTTAAACACCCAATGTACTTTGGGCCAAGCCTCTCTCTGCGTAGCCATCTCGCAGCACCCAGCACGGTGTTGTACTGCATAGGGAATAGTGAAGGACATAGGGCTTTGAAGTATTCTTTTCCACTGCTAATAGAAATTGCACTTAGAAACAACACTGTGCAGACAGGGATGTCTTTATGGCCATTTTTTTTTTCTAGTGAAAGTAGCTGCCACCTTGCCTACTGAGTGCAAATAAACCAAAAACAGGTTGTGTTGCTGAAGAAATAAATGATGTGGCATAGAGGTGGGTGGGAAGTCATTTCCTTGAGCAGCGCGCTCTGAAGTCTTCATCTGCTCCAGCCTCCTGGCTCGAAAACCCTAGGCCAGTGCGGACTCAGACCCCTGGGAAGGGATTTACACCCAACCCTTTTTCAGGCTGACCTGCCCACGGCTGCTGTGCAGGCAGGGGAGGTACTTCGTGCTTTCGGAGGGGTGCTGGGTGCCTGCTTGGCTGTGAAATTGCCATCCCAGGCAACTGCAATTGCTCTATGAAGGCTTTTGAAATTGTTTTTTGCCTGTCCTTTTCTGATTCTCAAATCCTGGCATATCTACCTGCAGCTGGGTCTTCCTTGTGTGCCTGCATTGCGATGGGTGCTGTGGGGTTGCTCTCCAGCGCTGGAAATCCACCTCACCTCCAACCAAAATGGCAAACAGAGAGCCAGTTTCTGCCCCGCTTTGTCACCTGCCCAAGGAGTTACCTCGATCAATCTGCACCCAATGAGCCTTCAAATGTCTCCCCTTGGTTCTGCACTACAGCTGGCGTAAACATTGCGCAGCACCACGTACGTCAGTATGCCTGGCCAGGACCACAGGCAACCACAGAGCCGGGATCCCCTTGACGTGGCGCTGGGGGCGGCTGGCTGCACCCATCCGCCGCCGCCCCCGCCT